TTCTATTGTGGCCCAGTCTCCGCTGTCTCCTCCCATTAGGAGTGAGAGGCAGCATTAGAGGCCCTGAGCACGACACTATGGGCACACACACACACACACACACACACACACACACACACACACACACACACACACAACACACACACACACACACACACACACACACACACACACACACACACACACACACACACACACACACACACACACACACACACACACACACACACACACACACACACACACACACACTTCTCCTGTTCTTAAGCGCAGCTCATTAATTTACCCTGTGGACATCTAAAATTTGATAACTCCTTCACAAAACAGAATAATGCCGCGACAGCGATAGTAACTATTCTAAATACAAAATGTATTATGAAAAGTCAATATTCTCTCAAATCAAAAAGTTACCTGTTACATTTTCTAAAAAGAATGACATTACCCACTTGACACTTCAAGTGGAAATCTGCAAGGTGTGAAGACTCCCTTTTTTCTGAATCTAACGCTTTAACGATATAGAAAAGTCAGTATGCCGCAGTAGGAAGAGTAATTCTTAGTCAAAGAATAAATGATTTGATAGATTGTGTTAAAGTAATAATAAATGAATGCACATTTTGATGTATGGATGACGGAACACAAGGAATGAGCGGATGAGCGGCGTGGAGAGTGGGAAAGGGGGGGAAAGGATAAGAGATGGGAAGAGATGAGCGGCGTTGACTCTCACTATATATCACTCTCTCTCTTCTTTCAATCAGCGCTTTGGCATTCAATCACACACACACACACGTGCACACACACACACACACACACACACACACGTTAAGCTTCACCGCCGGTGTGGTGTAATGGCTAATTGCAGTGAGTGTGTGTGTGTGTCACAGCTGGTACAGTCTCTCTTACTGCTCTTTCAACACATGAAGGCCGGCACTGACCCATGACATACACAAACGCAGAGAACTGATGGATCGAGAATAAATCAGAGACATTCACATCATCAAGGCTGTACTAAAGTGTGTGATTGTGTATCTGCAACATCTGCATATGAATGTGTAATTGCATTTTTGCCACAATTTGGTCACTTTAAGCTGCAAACGTGTGAGGATGTGTGTGTTTGCGCGCATATATGTGTGCATGCATGTGTGCGTTCATGCGTGGCTGTGTGTCCAGCGGACCCCTAAGTGCTGGTGTCAGACAAAAGCAACCCCCCCCCCCCCCTTTCCTTCCCACCTCTCGCTCGGTCTGTCCCTCTCATTGCATCTCTCTCTCTTTACGGACTGAATTACCACTGGAATGCCCGGACCCTTTACTTGAGAGAGAGGCTGCCGTATGCATGAGTGTGTGCATGAGTGTGTGTGTTTTTGTGTGTGTGTGTGTGTTTTTGTGCGTATTTGACTATGCATATACTTACTGACTACGAATGCAGATGGACAGGAAAACAGACGCGCACAAAATAAGTACAACACCTCCTCACACAGGCCACCAATGGGTCACAGACACGCGCACAAAATGTGGACAGGCAGGCAACCCATGCATGACTACAAACAGATGCAAATGTGCACACACACACACACACACACACACTCACACACAGCCAACAAATCAGTGCGGCACATATTGACATGCTTTGACAGATGAATTAAGTAAATGATTTTATAAGGAGATTAAAAGGATTTTAATTTACGCAATCTCTCTTTGGTCCCCCCTGTCCCTCCCTCCAGTCAGCTTACCTCTCCCTCTCCCCCCCCCCCCCTTCCCTCTCTACTGCTTTCTCTCCCTCATGGCCTGAGAAAATTAGTGCACGAGAGACTGACAAAAAAGAGAACGATATGATGCATTTTCTTAATTTGCTTTGACAAGAAACAAGCACATTTTTCTTTTCATTTGTATTAATTCATACATTTCAAATAAACAGTTTCTGACAATAGTAAGGTGATCTTTGCCTTTTTTTTTTAAAGACTACACATTTATTACAAAGCTGCACTATTTAGGTTTAGGTTGAATAGCCCTTAGTGATATTTGAACTAACAGAGTGTAAGAACGCTCGGCCTTCAAGTTTCAAGAATGAGATTTTTCAATAAATTATTTCATCTAAATTAAACAAATCATAATCAAATCTTTAAGATAATGATTGTGCTCCATAAAGTAACATTACACATTGAAATGTGTCTGTTGCATTGCTTTCAGTGCTGTCTTGACACAAGGAGTAATACTTGCAGGGTGGAAATAGAGCGCTTTTGTGTGCACACATTTAATCACTAAATCTGTTTAATAAACAATACAAGAATCGAAAGAACTAAATCAATTTGTTACGTTTTCTTGCATGTATTAATTTAGTTTGATGAATTTGAATTATTCCTCCGAAAAACCTAATTTAGAGTTTCACTTACAATCCCAAACATTTGATTTCACTACCATTTCTATGGAATTAAATACAATTATTATTTCTAGAGAAAAATCACGATTGATAATAACCGTAACTGAATTCACGTACGCTGCCTTGTGTTTCTCTTCGTCACTCACACTGCAAACCTTTGACTGAACGATCAGCTCGGCCGCTGAAGCCCCCCGTCTCCTTCACACCCACTGACAAAAACCCCCAAAATTCACTAAAGTCACTGTAGGAAATATATCTTAATGATATGCAAATTGATGTATATGGTGGCATGAGGGGAATGCAATTATGTTAACAGCTTAAGCGGTACTTGTTGTTATTATTATTATTATCGGTATGATCATTATCCCTAATATTTTAATTAGTGCAGAAGAGCAGTGCCTGAGAGCAAAGGAAGGGAAGCCTGAGCAGAGAAAAAGAGAACGGTGGACGGATGAATGGATGAATGGATGAAGGAGCGGACAGTCAGACAGATGTGAAAAAAGGGCCAAAGGATTTCTAAAATATTAGAGAGCGGTTGCAGATTACGGGCACTTGCAGAAACACGGAAAAGTAAAGCAGCATATTCCACTGATAACCGTCTGATATCAAAGAGTTTTTCCGTCAACATATTTGTGCTTAATTTTTAAACACAGTTCATACATTTTACACTTATTCAAAAGTTCCATAACCTGGACAGAGGAAGTCACTTTTCTTTTCTCATTCACAATAAAAAAACATTGTTTAATGTTTTTCACCTCATTTGCTATTGGTTCCTAAAATACACCACACTGTTCTTCAGTGGAAGGAGCATTGCCCAGACTCTGTTCAGATACAGTGAGAGGGCTTCTTAGCGTCGAAAATATTCTGGAGTCAGACTTTGCTTGTCTTCAAGTCATTTGATTTACAAAGGAAATTGGCTTGCTCAATATTAAAGATTGTTCGAAAGAGACTTTGCTCAGATCAAAACCTCAAACGCACCAAAAGCCAGATTTATACAAATGCTCTGCTATTTGAATTATCATGTTTAAACTCCTCTTAAGGTGTTTTTCTTGGTATAATATTGAAGTTTCAATAAATATACATTTGTGCTAAAGGAATAACTCTTAAGGCGTTTGCATATCTTTATTAATTACTGTAAACATAATTATAATTGAAACAAACTACCAATAAAACGTTTTTTATATTGATCAGAGACAATTTGAAGCTGTAATATTAAGCCAGCTGTTCTTTTTATTCCTCTTACTGTGTAGGTGAGAGGTTCTCTTTTTGTAAATGAAACACTCACACACACATACAAACGTGAGCCGGATTCAAAGTTCACATATAATGTCAGTTTTCTTTAAAAATGTCAATAATATCCTGTTCAGGAAACACATCAGAAAATCATTTCTGCTTTGACTTCAGGTCTCCACCTCCGACTTTCTACCGTGAAGACACTGAGGCTGTTATAAGGGTCATTTATATGTATTCATTATCATGCCAGGTCCTACAAATACGCCTTATATATGTATTTTAATTTCTATACATATTTACAATTAAATTCTGGCATTTATTGAAAGCAATGCAATTTTGACAGCGTCAGTGCCATCAGTGAATTCACCCATCCCAAGTGACTGCACTCTCTTTGCAGAATTACACTCATCACTTCCAATCCATGTGTTACCTTGTAAAGTTAGAAAAAGGAAAAAGTGTGTGTTTATTGCTATATTTTTGCTTTGAGTTATCTGTCCTTGTGTGCATTTTTATGAAACGCAGCTTGCATGGCAGTCGCCCAACCACACACACTGCTGTCTGTTCTGCCAATCAGTTAGTCTGCATTTTGAGCAGCGTCTTCAACATTCACTTAAAAGAGCAAAGCATTGGCTAAAGGAGCAGCTCAGCGGCACTCGCTTGTTTGTGTGTGTGTGTGTCTGTGTGTGTCTGTGTGTGTGTGACTGTCTCTAATTCCTGTGCGGGGCCACACGCTGAGCTGGCCGTCTGAAATTCTACCTCCTCTGGCATTTAAGAGTGCTGCTCTCCCCCTTTCCTCCTCCCTCCTCTCTTATGGGCCCTTCTCCTCCCGTCTCTCCCGTTATTCCGTAACCTCAATGCCCTGTTACCTCTCTGATTCTCTGCCTGGACACACACATAAAAAAACATGCGTGCTCAAGCATAAACCCAGGAAGACATACTCTGACTGAGTTGCTGTTTTGTCCTGAGAACAATTTGAGTCAAAGTAAAAGAATGTCTTTAAACAGAAAAAGTGAAGGAGAAACTGTGTCCCTATTTTACTAATGAGTGTGTATATGCAGGTGTGTGTGAGTGTGTGTGAGTGTGTGTCTCGCTCCCAGGTGGAGAGACAGAAATTCCACTCTTCTACCCACTGAGTAAGAGCTGCTGTCCGGATACTGCAGCCACACACACACACTCATACATACACACACACTGACACACACACACACTGACACACACACACACACAGACAGTGAACGCGTGCTACTTGACAGCAGAAACAACCTTGACATGGTGCCGGCCACCTCCGCTGCATACCAGCACACACACACACACTCACACACAATGAAAGACATGACAATGACAAGTTGAATGAAGAATGAAAGGATAAGGTAAAAAGGTAAAATGTACCTACTCTTGTTCAGAGTGCATTAAAAAACACTCGGATAACGGATGTCCTACCGACTCCATCGGCGATGCCTGGTCATTGTCAAGTCAACCTCCTCCAGGAAAAAAAGAAAATTCAAAAAAGCAAAGTTTTTATATCTCTCCTCCTCTTCTTTCTCCGGTCTTCCTCTCTCTTGGTCCTTCCTTCCGCTTGGAGGGAGCAATACAATTACCAGGCTCTGCGCTGCCTGCTCTGATCGGCACTGCGTGTGTAGCTGTGAGGGAGCGTGTCTGTGTGTGCGCCGTGTGTGTATGTGAGAGCCAGGGAGAGGGGCTATAGGTACACACAGCCAGCCAGTCAGGCAGTTGGGACGGAAAGCTGTGCCGCTGTCCTAATCAACGACTTAAAGCCCCGATAGCAGCTCATGAATATTAAGCAGCGTTTGCATATGCAGTCCCTCAGGCCCCGCTCCTGCTGTTGATTGGTGGATGCTTGACCAATGGCTGTGGGGAGGGGCGGAGTGAAGGGTGGAGGCAAAGAGGGAGAGTGAGAGAGAAGGGAGAAGAGCAGGTGGAGAGGGAGGGATCAGACAAAGAGGGGAAGAGAGAAGGAGGGAGGAAGGAAAGGAGGGAGCGGAGAGGAGAAAGAGACAGGTGAGGGAAAGATTTAAAGCCATCCCACTCTTCTTCTTTCTCTCATTCTTTGTCTCTTGATCAGCCTACCTTTCTGAAAAGTGTCTCTCCGATGCTCTTTGTTTCTCTCATCGTGTACCTGCAAGACAAAAAAAGACAAGGAGTAAATATAAATAGTATTTCAAAAACTGTAACAAAGTTACAAAGCTTTTAAGTCATGGAGCAAAGCGCTTTTCAGGCAAAACACAAAATTGATCTAATAAAATGGAAGGAATTGCCAGATCAAAGGAAAACATGTAAGCTTGACCCTAAAGCCTAAGTAATGTCACACTGCAAACACACACACGCACACACACACGCACACACACGCACAGTACAGCAGAGCCCATCTCAGCTCAGCAGTAAAATACGGGATTATGGCAATTCCGAGGCCCTTGTCCTTTGTTGTGGAATGATTTGGGAATGATTGGGACGAGGTTTCCCCGCTGCTTGCTGTTTTGTCGAGCTCCATGCTGTCTCGCCACCTGCAGGTTGTATATTCCCAGTATTTCCAATATTTCTAACAACTTTGAATGTGGGCATTGTCGGGGTGATGGGGATTCTCCAGGAGAATCATCTTACTGCTCCTTAGCCTCAGACAGAGGAGATAGGAGAATGAGAAAAGAGAAAAGGTGGAATCTACAGGGGGACTCAGATCTACTCTTGCTGTTTATTTCCACATGTTTCGTCTTTTCTATCTGACTTTTCCAACGCTCAGATACCTCTGCACACAGGAGGGAGGGTTAGAGTGTGGCAGAGAGAGGGGGATAGAGAGAACGAAATTGGAGGGGTGGAAAGGGGGGACGCAAAGATGAAAGAGAGGAGTTGTGATTAGCAGCTTTGGAAGAGAAGAGATAATAAAACATTTCCTGAAACCAATCTCTGCTTTGATGTTGGTGTGTACGCGTGTGTGTGCAACAGAAACTACAAGTTCTTTCTCTGTCTTTCGCTCTCACACACATTAACAAACAAGTCAAATGTTTCAAACCTTTCCTTATGGTTTACAGCAGAAGAACTAAAGAGTATTGCTTGGCCAGGAAGTATGGTCATTATTTAATTTGTTTTGACCCAGAGAATGTGAGCAGAATGAGTTATAAGCTTTAAGGCTCTTTTCAGGAATTAAGATATTATTATTTATATAGTTTTTTAATTAAACGGGAAACCCTTTTTTTTGGGGCCATATGGACGACAAAGAAGGGAACATTTACACAAAAAAACACACGCATACTGATGTATCTATTGCATTCGTACACACACACAACACACACCTCACACTCACACTCACACATCACACACACACCACACCACACACACACACACACACACACACACACACACACACACACACACACACACACACACACACACACACACACACACACACAACACACACACACAGTTATGATGTATCCATGGGGCTTATAAGCATCGACAAAGATGAGTGTGAATCAATGCTGCCGTCACTACTGGGCAAACAAATCCTTTACCAAAACCTCTTTCTCTGACACACACACACACACACAAATAGATAAAAACACAAGCATCTGCAATTTCCTTATCTGTGAGGGAATATTAAGATGCATAGATTTCATGTTTTGCTAAAAATAATATGTATTGAAGATTTAAAAATCAGTTTCTCCATTTTCATTTTGAAAAATTGCAGAGAGATTCGCATGTAAATTGAAACATTCAGAGCTGCACTACAAACACAAACATTTGAAAAAAACTGTTATGGACTTGCACGAAGATAAATCAAAAAGCCTGTCTGTGATGAACTGATCGTGTTCATGGAGGCGTTTTTCTACGTTAACATTCAATGACATTTTGCCTGAATTCCTCATTCTGTAATTTATGCATGTGTGCAGTGTGTGTTGAAAAGTGTTTTTACAACACTGGCAATCAGTTTTAGTACAAACAGCAATGTCTTTGATGAAAAAACAACAGCATAAGAATCAAAATCTGAGGATCAAATTCCAGTCTGCATATAGTGCCGAGAGAGATGCTTTAAAAAGCTGTTCTCTATTATGTAAATAGGAAATAATTGTTATGTTAAGACACTTAAATCCTAAACCACACACACACGTATTAATTAACGGAGCTGTGCATACAGTCTGTTCCACATGTGTTCCTAAAGCTTCTGCATCTTCTACATGAACCCACAGTTCCTCACAGAATCTCAGTGATTCTAGTTGAACCCTTGAAACACCTCAGCTCTTTCTCTCTTCTCTCTCCCTCCCTGACCCCCATCCCCACCAACCCCGCCCCCCCTGACTATTGATTGGTTTTCAGTCGGTGTGTATGTTGACAGTGACCCCTTAAGGCCACTTCTCTCTCTCTCACTGGACAAACCCAGCTGCCACGCAAACCTCTTAAACACAAAGCTATTACAGTAAAAAGCCAGGGAAATACCCTGTGTGTACTTATGTGTTTGGCGACTCCCTGGCAATCTGATTGCCACGATTTGTACAAGACTGTTGATAAAATACATACCATAAATAAAAACACCCAGCCAAGTCACAATCTAGAATACAATCATAGTTTATTATTCTATGTATGTGTGTGGGAATGATTTTGTTTGCATTGCCTTCCCATACCAGTAACTATGTGAAGGCTTTTGTCCCCTGCTGATCTTTCACTCTTGTCTATTGTCCTGCAATTGTGTGTGTGTTTTGACCCCGTGGGTGGCAGCCTGTTGACATCTGTGGAAGAATTATCCATTGCAACTCTCACTGACATCAATCCCAGCACTCGATAGGCCACAGCAAGTTCATTCAGGGCAGTGTATGTGCGTATATGTGTGTGTCAGTGCTGGTCAAAACAGTATTTAACAAATTCAGGAGGCGGTCAGTTAAGCAGCTGACCTCAGGCCACACATCGACACGCATGTGCCAGTCACACACATATTAACTTGACTAAAAGCTACAACTATCAAAGCCCCTGAAAATGATATTCTTAATTATGAATATTCTGTTTATAATAAAATAGCACTTGATGTTTTAAGGTTTAAGATAATAAGGTTGAAGTGAATGATTGCCACAAGCACAAAGAAAACTTAACAGAAGCTATTGTGACATATCACAGAACAAACAACAGTGAACTCTGCTTTTGTGAAGGGAAAGAACGCTGCCAACGCAGGAAAGACCAAGAGGGAAAGAGGGATATAGAGAATGTAGTTCACCACTAGCCAACAGAGGGAGCTATGGACTCTGGTCAGTTTGTGGCCAGCTGCAGCACACTGACTTGTCTGAGTGTGTGTTTATGTATAATATCGCATGCAAAATCAAATCATCATAAATAAAAAATGGAAACCCATGAAAAAAATGCATATATAACATCCAATTACATCAAGGAACTTTAAAATGCTCTCATATACTCACACACACAACACCCCCCCTGCCCCCCACACACACACACACTTACGTTGCCAGCAGGGACGGGAGGGATGGAGCTAAGTTATCTGATAGCTCTGTCAGCAGGTACAGCAGAACACAGTGTGGAAACGGACAATTTGACCACAGACCCCCTGCTCAGCCCACCAACCAGCTTTACAGAGAAGACGGAAAGATAAAAAGGACAACAGGATAATACAGTGTGTGTGTGTGTGTGTGTGTGTGTGTGTGTGATAAAGCAAGATATAGCAAAAATCCGGATGGAGACCTGGAAAGACATTTCTGTCACTAAACTGTCCAATTGGTGTAATAGCAGTGCCAGGTTCTGCAGTCACAAGGTGTTATTGGGTAAAGACTACACTTAAGCTGCAGTTCATCTCAAGATATGTGCGAGTAAGTGAGTGTGTGTTTATCAAAGTGTGTTGCAGGACATTAATGCTACATTTTTAAAGTGCTGTTTAGGATAAACCTTAGTTGTCTGTTGTAATATAAACAATGATATTTAAATTGTGATATGAGACCAGATATCGTCTTAGATTTTGTATTACGCTATATCCTGTGTTGTTCTTTCCTGGTTTCAAACATTCACACACACACAAATAAGCCAGGCACACATTGCACACAAAGGTACTGTACAATATGTCCATATAGGCTTGCTTATATATGCATACACTCAGTCAACACACACTACAACTGAATCAGTTATCAGTCTTTCATCTTCCACAATCACATAAAGTGACACTCAGAGGCTTGGGGACTGTTGTTTTGCATTGATGTTAAATGAGCAGATGCACAGGTGGAACCCTTCATTTGGTCATGATAATCAACATTTTGTAGGCTTACACAACACACCTGCATAGATGTAAATTGCTGGATGAATCTATCAGTATGGCCCGTCACACTGGGAGACATTTTAGATGTTTATGGCTTTGATACTACCCTTAATCTAACCATACATCTGTACATGTGTGTGTGTGAGCAGGCATGCGTGTGTCCACCCAGACACCTCCAGGGAGGGAAGGGGCAGTGATGGTGATCAAGGCCAAGGAGAGAGCACCAGCTGCTGGAAAAGCTGCTGGGTTTACGGGGGCTTTCTGGAGCCTGTCACTAAAAACTCTGTCTGGGTAACCTTTGGAGGAGGATACACGGAAGTCACACACACACACAGTCACACACAGTCACACACCCACACACAACACACCACACCACACACCCAACCACACACACACCACACACACACACACACACACACACACACACACACACACACACACACCACACACACACACACACAACACACCACCACACACCACACACACACCACACACACACACGACAACACACTCATACAAACCTAATTTAACGACAAACTGGTATACAGTGACAAAATATAGATTAAGAATACATTTAAACATTATTTAACCACACTGAGAGACCTGACCCGGCAACCTAAATACACATTCCCACGTGCACATGATGCTTATAATCTTAGGGGGATGAATGTTGGTGATTTCTTTAGAACAGAGAGCCATGTGACAGGCCTGTTTTTCCATACAAAGGTCAGGCAGGATTCACAGCTAGGAAGACAGAGGTGTGTGTGACAGAGAGGGCAGAGAGAGGAGGGCGGGAGAGAAAGAGAGAGAGATAGTGAGAGGGAGAGAGAGAGATGTGTGTATAATAAGGGGACAAAAAGAGGGTGAGAAAGACATTC